AAATGCTAGTTTTGTTATTTTAAGAGTGGAGACAGACAGACACACATGCACACACACACACACACACACACACACACACACACACACACACACACAGATCGGGGGTGACATGAGTTAGGTGCCCTCATAGAGGCTGTGATCTTCCTGGATCTACAGTTACAGGAAGCTGTGAGCAACTTGACATGGGTGCTGGGAACTGAACTCTGATCCTCTGGGATAGCAAGCAGCATGCTCTCTTAACCACTGAGCCACCTCTCCAGCCCCAATAAAAACATTTTTTAAAGAAGTCACACTTCCTATCTAACATTCCCTGTACTCGGCTACAGTAGCCATCCTCTCCCCCTCCCCCACACTCCTCTGAGGTTCTGAGAATTGTTCTTCTCTCTCTGCTTTGAGATCAGCATAATGTCCTCCAATTCCATTCATATTGCCGTGATGACAGTATTTCATTTATTTTATGGTGAATACTATTTCATTGTGGATATGTACCACATTTTATTTATTCATTCATACCTCAATGGGCACTTAGATTGATTCCATATCTTGGCTATAAACATGGAAGCGAAATATCTTACTTTGACATACTGGCTCCTTCTCTCTGGGTATATGCCTAGGAACAGGATGGCTGGATCATAAGGTAGTTCTATTTTTAGTTTTCAGAGGCACCTCCACACTGTTTCCCATAGGGCTGTACTCACCAGCAATGTATAAGCATTCCCTTTCTCCACACCCCACACCCAGCATCGGCTGTCATTTGTCCTTGACAAAAGCCATTCTGAGGTGAGATGATATCTCACTGTGGTTTCGATTTGCATTTCCAAGATATTTTCATATGCTCCTTAGCCAAACATTACCTGAATTTAATACATAGTAGCATACCAAAGATTATCAGAAAAAAAGTTCTATAAAAATCTGGTGGCTAGAGAAGAGGAAAAAGAAGGGAGTGTGTTCTGGGTCTCTTGCTAACCTCTGATACAGGGGAAGCTAGACAGAGACCAAGGACGGCAGCCTTGGCCAGCAGATGCCTCTGTCACCCAGTTCTCCCCCAATTGCCATTTCCCCCATTGCCGCATAACTGACCTGGGCTTCTGCAGCTTCTAGTCTGGATCTGAGGAAGCAGCCAGCAGTTGTGTCCATCCCCACCCATCTTGTCCTGAAGGGTTAACCCTGTCCCCTGGACGGAAGGAAGGAGAGGATGTTCATATCCGAGGCTACCATTATCTTGGGGTAATTAGGACGATCTTGTTTGCAGGGAAGGGCGAGGTGGACGGTGGGAGCATAGAACTGCCCTGTAGGGATGTCGTTGAAGAAGCACCCAACTGGGGAGGGGGAGTCTATCCAGGACCCAGGTGAGATCAGAAAGGGGAAACTGGTGGGCCAATGGTGCAGCCCACAAGCCTCTTGGACCAATCTGGAGCCTGTTTTCTGAAGACATGTGTCACTGCCTGGAGCTGCCTCTGGGCCTCCCCTCTCTGTTCTTTTACCTTTCCTGTGTGCCCCACCGGAGAGTCACAATGGAGAAGGCATGGCCTAGATGGCAGGGGAAGGCAGGCAACCCACAGAAGAGCTAGCAAGTGAGATACCCTGCGTATAAAACAGAAGTAGGCAGGGAGGTAGCCCAGCAGTGCCCATCCTGTCCTTCTGCAAGGTCCCTCTTTCCAGGCTCTGCTGCAACAGTCCCCAGAAGTGAGGGACACAGTGTACTGCACCAGCATCTCAGCAATTTCTCTGCCAGATCTTAGACTATAACAACTCTTAAGTATTTAACCCACTTAAGAAACTTCTAGAAAGAAAAGCCTTTGTGGCCTCAGCTCCCTGGAACTACATCCATGGGCCCTTTCCCCTGAGTTCCAACCAACCCCCAGTTCTAACTGATCACCAGATAGTGTCCCCACTGTCCTTAGAGTAAATCGAGGCATTGGATCTGTTTAAATTGCCCCTTTCGTCGCAATTAATGATGTGCATTCTTACAACAGAGGGGCATTTTTGCTCTTTATTTTTATTAGCACTATTTACTTATTTAGGGTTTTTGTTTTTCTGAGACCAGGTCTTGCTCTGAGCCCAGGCTGGCCAGGGGTTTACAAGAAACTCTCCTGCCTCAGCCTCACAAATGCTAAAGTCACAGGTATGCATGGGCCACCATAAACAATGCCAAGAGCTGCCACATGGCATTTCTGCTTCTATTTAATTGGTCACATTTGGCTGCATGACTGCACCTAATGGTAGAAGCTGGCAAGTATAGCAGTTGTTTTTCATGGCCACATACTTCCCTTAGGACTCTGGAGTGTCTTCAACTGGGAAAGAAAGAAAAATAAGAAACTGGGAGCAACTAACAGTCTCCACAACATGGCTATGTATGTTGATCGTGTGTGTGTGTGTGTGTGTGTGTGTGTGTGTGTGTGTGTGTGTGTGTGTGTTGCACAAGCATGTTATGTGCTGTCGGGGCAATCGGTTCTCACCATGGCTTTGATCTCAAATGGACCTGTGACCACTTCTCTCTGCAACCCCCACCCCATGCGTGTCCTAGAAGCCTGGCCTCTCATCTTAGGCATACTTACTCAGCAACAGCATCTCAATTCCATGTTTTCAAAGCACTGCAATTTATTGCCAGAATCCACTGGGGCATATTATCCATGCCGAGAGAGGGCTTGTAAACCTGTTTGTCCATTTCAATAGTTCGGGGTGGCCATTATGTGAAAATAGCTATGATATGACCATAGTTAATCTGGTAGTAAATTTTGTAAGGAAGGAGGGTGTCGTCAACACATAAATCTTAGAAATGAATGCCACACACTCTTGTGCTGCAGGGGGAAACCCATAAGCACCAGGTACCCCGTTGGGATGCTCGTGGGAGGCAGTGGGCCAAGTGTGTGGCTCGGTTAGCTGCAGGTGCTGTTGCCCAGAGCGTTTCAAGCTCTGCCCAGTAATTACAATAATTTTTAAGTGGCTGGCATTTACTCCCTCAACCCTGAGCCAGACACAAGCCAAGATAGGCAGGGATATCAAAAACTCATCTCATTTTTACCCTTTGGTGGCTCCATTTTACAGGTAGGACCAGATACTTTGGGAAGTTATCTCTCCTGCCCAGAGACACACAGAAACAAACAACAAAAACAGAGCCTGCAGTTAAAACCTGGGGCTGAACTATTACACTTGGCTCCTCCATTGGAGTTTCAGGGGACTGAAGGGGGATATCAGCTAGCAACCCTGCCGATCTGTGGAGAATACATTCCATGACTTCCAGTGGACACCTGAAACTTGTGAGGGGACTAAGCCACTTATATCCATTTATTCTTCATATGCCTTGGAGCACAGAGCCATAGAACTCAAATTCCTCTCTCCTTGAATGTGTATGCCTCCTTTATAAACACAGTTCTTGCTTTAGGCCCACCATTCAATTAAATAAAGGTTAACAGGAACACACAGTGATTCCATGACAATTGATCTGATAACCAAGCCACTACTAAGTAGCTCACAGGTGAGTAATGTATACAGTGTGGATTCCCTGGATGAGGGATGATTCACATCCCAAGAGGGGCAGGATGAGACAGTACAAGACTTCACAATACTACTCAGCATGGCACAATTGAGAATTGATGAAGTATTCATTTCTGGAATTTTCCATTTAATATTTTTGGATCACAAATGACCAAGGATAACTAAAACCTTGGAAAGTTGTGGATGGGAGTCAGGACTGCTGTATTTCAATCTGTCCTTCATACATCCCAGCCTGCTGTTTATCTTTTTGACTTTGGAAAAGTTGGCTCATCTCTCTGAGGCTCATTTGTTTTCTCTTCTGTAAAACTCAGATTAAAAAGAGCGTACCTTTAAGCAAGCACTATAAATAATAGATAAGCAGTGTGCTCATTTTTGCTGTACTGCCACAAGGTGAGTTATACTAATATTACCACCAACGGATAGCAATGCATCACCTGTTCCCACCAAGACCCAGATGAGGAAGAACGCAAAAAGGAAAAGTCAGTTTTTCTACCGTCTCCACACTCTTTATCCTAATACTTTATTAGGATGGATATCTTTATTATTCAAGCTCATATATACACCCTTAGCATGGATCACTGGCTACAGACTTGCATACATTTAACTTTATTACCTTTTTGCCTCATGCATCTCATCAAACTTGTGTTTTCTTAATCAAGCATCTGCATAGTGTTAATTTAAAAACCCAGGGTTCCATGACTGAAATTTCCAGCATTCTAAGTGAATATACTGTGTTCGCTTCTGCCTCCACACCTTTGCACTTCTGACGTCTTGGTCACATGTGGCAACCGTGTTCTGCTCTCCCAGCCCCTTCTCGGTCTTCAACACCAGCCACGGCAACCTCCTCTGGGCTCCTGCGATGTCTCACACTTCTCTTCTTGTGAAGCTCCATCTTCCTGCGTTGAAACAGCCTACTTGCTCGTCTGTCCCTCCTGTTACGCTGAGGTGCTGGAGGGTAGGAAGTATCCTCCATCCTTGGTGCACCATGTCTAATGGGGAAACGCTGCTTGCATTCAGGTTCCCCCTGAGAGAGGAAGGAAGTTATAAATCGGTAATGAAGGTGGTAACAGAGAGTAAGAGGAAGGGCTGGGCAGCACTGGGCCCTAAGAGTAGCGAGAGGAGCACTTCAAACTCCTCCAACTCTTTCACGTGCGTTGGCTAATTTCATCTTCATAAAAGCTCGGAGATAGGTAGATTGTAGGGAGAAAGGTGGAGTTTTGAGTGGTTATGTGATACACCTAAAGTTAGGCAGTGAGTAAACAGCTACGTTCAACTAGACCTTAAGAGTTGGTTCTCTCTCCCTTGAAGTATGCAATAAAGCCCCCATCATCATCACACCCATCCGACAAATACTGCCCTATGATCGACAGGACACATCACCGTGGCTTTATTGACCTGTTAAAAAATCTTCCCAAGGGGACGCATTTTATTAACCCAGGTTCGGTAACGAATTGTCTTTGACTTTGAGAGGATAGTAGCTAGCTAGGGAGGAAAGCAAATCTTATCTATCCACATCGGATGGCAGGTTGGCAGCAGGGCCGACGGGTGGATTTATACTGGGCTCTTGAAAAGTGTCGCTCCTTCTGTTTGCAGGCCAAGAAGATCCCAGGAAGGAAAATGTGCTGGAGACCCCTGTGCCGCTTCCTGTGGCTTTGGTCCTATCTGTCCTATGTGCAAGCTGTGCCTATCCAGAAAGTCCAGGATGACACCAAAACCCTCATCAAGACCATTGTCACCAGGATCAATGACATTTCGCACACGGTAGGGAGACTCTGAGAGACAAAGGAAAAGTGGGGCTGGAATCGGAGTCAGAATGCCAGGCACGACCTGGAGGCTGGGGATTTATAAGCCTAGGGTATCCATTCTCTCTGGTTATGGCTCTTGACCTGCTGGAATCCAGAGCTGAGTGGTTCCAGTTCTAAACCCAGCACCGACTGCTCAACTGGGGTTCTAATTCTAAACCACTTTAAGGAATTTGACTTTGTCGTACTCTCCCATTAAGAAACCATAGCTTCTGTGATAAGGCCACTTGTGTCCACTTTCCCTCTGCCACAGGAAACCCTGCCCTCATGGGAGCTGAGCGTGTAAGGCGCACATCCGGGAGAACTGTGGTCCCTCCCTGCTCTGCAGCCGATCTCCCCTTCTCCTCAGTCCTTTGTTTCCGTCCCTCTCATTCTCCTTCCCACCTGAATCTACTTCCTTGACTCCTAGTTTGCAGGACCACAGGAAACCCTAAAGGCTATGGTGTCCCATTGACAGGTGGCCAGACTCCCAACCGTGTCTCCACTTGCCAGTCTACACAGGAGGATCCTTAGGTTTCTAACCGGTTTAGCTACAGCTTTTCCTGCCTGTGGCTCACCCTCCTTTCGAAGTCACAAAGAAGAGCAATCTTCATCATCTTCTAAAAGTAGTCATCAGGGCTGCACATGGGAGACCTAACTACCCAAATATGGGTAGTAATGAGAGAACGTCACCCAGGAGGGAAGAGCTCTTCCTGGAAACCAGATTCACTGGAGTGGGGAGGGGCCCGACTTTGACCCTAATGAGGGAGAACCATGTAAGAATAGGACTGGGAGGGAGAGATCTGATAAGGGGAGGGAGGCTAGAGTGAGTATAAGGAATAGAGAGCCATGGCTAGTCCCTCACAGATGCCGTTTGGAGAAAGGAATTACCAAAGAAGATTAGTTAGAAGTTAAAGGAGCGCGTGGGGGGGGGGGGGGGGGGGGGGGTGCTCAGAATGATAGACGTCTGATGTCTGGGAGACCAGCTCAGTGGCTCAGCCATCAGCTGAGCACAGGAGATAAGGGCCTGGCCCGGGAAGGTGAGGAAGGAAGGAGACGGGCCAGGCTCGCAGACGTGCTGGAGGGCTTTGGAGACTGATTCCCCTCCACTTGCTGAGTGTCTGCTGCTCCTCTTCCTCCTTCCTGTACAGCACTCGGTATCCGCCAAGCAGAGGGTCACCGGTTTGGACTTCATTCCCGGGCTCCACCCCATCCTGAGTTTGTCTAAGATGGAGCAGACTCTGGCAGTCTACCAACAGATCCTCTCCAGCCTGCCTTCCCGAAATGTGGTGCAAATATCTAACGACCTGGAGAACCTCCGCGACCTTCTCCATCTGCTGGCCTCCTCCAAGAGCTGTTCCCTGCCTCAGACCAGCGACCTGCAGAAGCTGGAGAGCCTGGACGGCGTCCTGGAAGCCTCACTCTACTCCACTGAGGTGGTGGCTCTGAGCAGGCTGCAGGGCTCTCTGCAGGACATTCTGCGACACTTGGACCTCAGCCCCGAATGCTGAGGTTTCAAGGACCACCAGTCTCCCAAGGATTGGGTTGAGGGAAGAAACCTTGGCTTCCAGGTGTCTCTGGGAGAGGAGAACCATGTGTGCACACCCCTCATCCAGGACTCTGCCCATTTCTCTCACTCCTCTAGGCCCCTCTTCCGAAGGCATGACTCCACAATGCTTGACTAAAGATATGCACACGATTCCACGAGCACTAGGAGGAGGGCCAGTCTGCAGAGCTGATTCTCACCCAGTTCTTCAGCAAGTATAGATAAGAGCCATCCTGTCCCCTCCCTGTTCTACCCGCCTGTCAGTACATGCTTTACTGTGACCCAGGGAATATGAAGAAGGGGTGGGTAGAGCCTTTGGTTTGTCTCAGAGTCTCCGGGGAGCACCATGAAGGCTGCAGCCACACACAGCTGGAAACTCCCAAGCAGCGCATGTTGGAAGCGCTTATTTATTTATTCTGCATTTTACTTTGGGTGGATTTGAAGCAAAGCATTGTTTTTTGTTTTTTGTTTTTTCAGGCTTTGGGGTCAGTCAGGGCTAGGGAGGCTCCTAGGGTGCTGTTTTCAATCCCATTGACGGTCAACCTGAGGCAAACCTGTTTTGAGTAACTGGAAGGTTGGGCTCTCCTGAGCAAGAGGCATCCGAGATGGCTCTCAAGTCTGTCCTCTGGTGACGGGCTTTGTTTCTATTGTGACTGATTTCATGCAAACACTTTTGCAGTGGCATTGCCTGGAGCATAGGCTAGGTTATTATCAAAAGAAGATGAATTTTGTCAAGTGTAATATGTGTCTCTGTGCACCTGGGGGTAGGGGATGTGTTAGAGGGAGGGAGGAGGATTCAGAATGTGTTTTTTGAATAACACATATGTGGTGGGCTTTTCTGAAAGGGGGAGGCAACTTCCTCAGCTCCTGCAACCACCTAGTGTGGTTTTGGTGAAAAGAGCAGTTTAGAGTGTACCAGGCACCCTTGGAGGGGGCTAAAGCTACAGGCCATTTTATTGGCATATTGCTGAGCTCAGGGAGTGAGGGTACCACAGTTGAGACAGTGATCCCCAAGAACAGGGTGCCTGGTGTGGCCCTCCAAGTTGTCCAGGGTTGATCCCCACAATGGGTTTCTTAACCTGGCGGCAACCCTAGTAGGTATTTGCACGTCAATCTGATTGGTTCATCCAAAGTAAAACCACGTTTCCCACCCATTCTGTGGGGAGTTTTGTTCCAGTGGGAATGAGAAATCATTCAGCTGATGGTCCTGAGGCCTGGGCCAGCACTGCTGAGGAAGTGCCAGGGCCCCAGGCCAGGCTGCCAGAAGTGCCCTTCAGGCTGGAGGTCATGTTCAAGAGGATGGACAAAGGGGCTTGGGTTTTTCCACCACCCTGCACCCTAATGTCACCATCACACTGTGGGTGGCAGATCAATGCAAGAAGACTCAATGGAAAGCAATACACTTTAAGACTGAGCACCGCTGCGTGCTCAGCCCTGACTGGTGCTGTGGGCTAGAGAAGCTCACCAAAGAAACACAAAAATCGGGGGCTCACGTCCCTGCGGTAAAACCCTAGTCACCGGTGTGCCAAGGTGGATACTTCACCATGGCAGCACCACACAGCTGAGAGCACAGTGCTGTCCTCAAAGGGTGGGAAGCAGCCTAAGCTGTGACAGTGCCCAGGGTAACCCTGCTTGCACTCTATAGCATTTGCATACTTTTCAGGGCACATTAGCATCCACCGCTATTGTAGCACACCCGTTGACACAGGAGGACTGGGGTCTTAAACATAAGAAAACACAGGTTGAGGATCCCTTATCCAAAGTGCTTGGAACTAGAAAGTTTTGGGTTTTAGTCTCTTCAGTCTTAGATATCTTTGAATACATATAATGAGGTATCTTGGGGGTGGGACCCGAGTATAAACCTGAAATTTATTTCTATTTCATAATACCGTATGTACACAGCTTGAAGGTAATTTTATACAGTGTTCTTAAATAATGTTATGTGCACGAAATGAGATTTCACGGTGTGGGATTTTCTACTCGAGGCAACATATCATCACTCAGAAACCACTGGGTTCCGAAGCAGTTTGGATCTTGGATTTTCTGTTAAGAGTTACTTAGACGACACTTAAAACTATAACGGCAAACAGGTGACAGGCCCAGACTAGGGACCAGTTCCTCAGTCCTGAAGGGTGTTCCTCCAGTCAGCTAATGCACTCTGGAGGTGAACCGGATCAGGTTTTGGGGTGCTGGCTAGAAGAGAGGAACTTGAGGTAGGTTTTGGAGGAGGTGAGGGATGCGTTTCCTACTAGGAGGGTGCTGTCTTAGTGGAAGTCGGTATGTGGAGGGGTTAACGGATGGCCAGGAAGTGAAGGGGGAGTGACAGGGGAGGACGGAATAGGAAGGGACATGCTGCAAGGACTTTATGGGCCACAAAAGTGGACATTGAAAGAGTCCCAAGGGCCACAGTCTGGAGCAGAGGGCTGTGGTGGCTGGTGTCAAACTGCTCTGGGGTCTATGATATGTCACCTTGGCCACCTCAGCCAGCTGAAACGTCCTGAGCCTTTTGCTCAGAAAACCCGGCACTATGGTTCATTCCCAGATTGTGAAACTTCCCATATGCAAAAATGCTTGGTTTTTTTTTTTGTTTTGTTTTGTTTTTTGTTTGTTTTTATATGATAACAAACTTCTGTTTTATTTTGTGTAAACTTAAATAAATTAATGACGCTTCCCTGCTTTGTTTTCTGTCTCCTTCTGTGGAGGGGCTTCAGGAGAGCTGTTTGTGTGTGACAGAGCAAGGCCTGGCTGGCGTCCAGCCATCACCCGGGTCAGCTCCACCCGGGCTTGGCCACAGCTAGCCGCCAGTTATTCAGGCGAAAGGATTCCCCTAAAGCCCAGGGCTGGTCAAGGAGCACATTCTACACCAGAGGCTGTGCAGTTCTGCAAACCAGCCTTGAGAAGCACCAGGTTATTTTTAAAAATCAAAGTCAGAAGTATCAACAACAAAAGCCCAAGCAAACAATCAAACGAAAACCACCCAAACTAGCAACAGACCAGCCAAGCTCACAGAGCAGAAGAGATGAACCTGGCTCATGGTAGTCACAGAATAGTCATCCCTTCAGCCCATGCAGGACCTGACCTCCTCAACTCCTGTCCAGAGGGACCGGGGTCTGGCTATTAAAGCCACATCATTTCCATGGCGACTAAAAAGACCATTTCCCCAAAAAGGTCACCGGTGTCTCTGGAGAGAAAATGCTAGGAAGGACCCCACAAAATCTCAGGTTAAGCAAACTTTCCTCCCTCACCATCGAAATTAGCAACAGGCTTGGTTTCCAGTCTCTGCTGGGGGGCACGGGGGTGTTGCTTACCTACCAGCTGCTACAACAGAAGACCATGGGCTGGGAAGTGTGAACAGCAGACATTTTCATTCCATAACTCTGGGCACTGGATGTCAAAGATAAGATCCAACACGGCCAGGTCAAGTGAGGTCCATCTTACAAACTGTGGCTCTTATCTTTTGTTGTTGTGTTCTTCGAGACAGGCTTTCTCTGTGTAGAGCTCTGGCTGTCTCGGACCTGTTACTCTGTTGACCAGGCTGGCCTCGAACTCACAGAGATCCACCTACCTCTGCCTCCCAAGTGCTGGGATTAAAGGTGTGGGCCACCACCGCCTGGCTGCAGCTGCCATCTTAATGTGGTACCCTCACACGGTAGAAAGAGAGGAGAGGGCCTCTAAGGAAGGCCCTTTTATAACAGTGCTAGTCCCCACTCACAGAGCTCTCATGAACTAATCACTCTCTCAGACCTCACCTTCTAATGCCATCAGCTTGAGGGTTAGGATTTCAATATATGAACTTGGGGAGACACACCATTCAGTCCATGCACTTGTATACAACTTAAGGGAGTGGAAGGGATCCCAATCTCCTGAATGAAGACAGACCACAGAGGGTGGCACAGATGTGACTTCAGCCTCTTAGGGTTGCTTGAGAGTTCAGGGACGTGGTAGTGGTGTCAAAAACCCAAGATAAACCACCCTAATGAAAGAGACACTGCATCTCGGCCCACAAAGATAAGAAATCCAGGCCCAAGTCTGTCTCAACATTTCCCCCTGCACGTCTGTCTTCCTCCGGTAACCTCACTCTCCTCCAGGGAGTAGCGAAGATGGCCTTCAACAGCTCCAGGCTCGTGGGGTCCTTGGTGCTCATCATGGCAGGAGATGGACATCTTTCTCGTTCAGTGGTGCCAGTGAACAGCCTAAGGAGGGCTCTTTAGCCAGGCTTGAGTCACATGGTCACCTTGTTACTAAGGACAGGGAAGCCCCATGTGAACAGCAACTTCTGAGAATGAGCGAGCATAGGTCCCAGGATGTAATTCACAGAAAAACAGATGAATGGATAAATGAAACAACCCGGTTAAAAAGAAAGACAAAACAGAAAACATACCTGCCATAGCATTTCAAACTCTTTCGAGTTCCATTATGTGTATGACTTGGCTAGGGAAGTCCTGGATCCGAGCCTGTCACCCCTGGGAACTCCTACTTCAGCCACCTGTCATTTTATACCCCAGGACCCACACCTGGTAGCTTGGATTCAGCAACCAGGCCTAAAGCCGTCGCCACACACCAACTCTCTTGGAAGAAAAGGCCATTGAAGACTCTAGTTCTCCATCCTGTGGATCCTTGAGGTGACATCTCAGGAGGGAGAGAGTCTGGAGGACAGAATGACAAAGTTTAGTGGCATTGCCTGAGGGGGTAAAGCTAAGTTAGTATTCCCAGAAGCCTAGAAAAGTTCGGGTATCCCCTGCCAGCCTGGGGTAGGTACAGGGACATGGAGTTGATGCATTGGGTCTTTGGTGACTGTGACAGGTTAAGGCCATCTTGTTTCTGTGCAGCCATGAGCCTAAAAGGCCCAACTGAGGGGGATTAGGAAAACTATCTACACTAAAGGGTCTGGAGGTGTTCTGCCCCACGTGATTGCACTGCCCATTCCCGGGAGGAGAGGTTACCCTTTGAATTCTCCTCTCTGACCCTTTTCTACCCGTGGGCATTGTGGTTGAATGAGAAGTACTCCACACAATCTTGGGCATTCGAACACTTCATCCCCAGCTGGTGGTACTGCTTGGGGAGATTTATGTGGTGCAGCCTTGTTGGAGAAAATACGTCAGTGGAGGCAGGATTTGAAAGCATAAAGCTTTACCATTTCCAGTTGGGGCAGTTCCAGCTGTAAGCCCTCAGCTTTTTCCTGATGCTGGGTCCATTGTTGCTGCCATGCCTCCATACTTCCATCGTGAACTCTTATCCCTTTAAGAATACTCTTAAAGAATAAGCCAGAATAAACTCTCTTCCTTAAATTGTCTTCGGTTGTGGTATTTTTTTTTAAATTGTAGCAATAGAAAAGCAAGAAACACA